ACATCAGTATGACTCGGAAGATCACTTCTGGGCGATCCCAAGGCCGGGAGTTCGAACCTCCCTCGGGACATCTCTTTTTTGCACCTTTTTTCTTCGCTTTATTTGATCTTTTTTGCTCCGTCACACAGATGATTGATATCCTCGTGTTGGTTTTTGAGTTCGACTTCCAGGGTCTTGGTGGACCGCGCAAATTGCATCGTATAAGCATCTACAAACCTCTGCAGTCTGCAAACCAGACTGTATAATGCAGGGCTAATTCAGATCCGAGCATCCCCACGGCCTTCAACAAGGCATAAACCACTACGATATCGATACAAAAGCATGACAGGCAGGCGCTGATCGGCCACTGCCATCCTTGTCCTCTCCGTTGTAGACTTACAAAACATAAGCACAGAGGACAGTGGGCTGTCTACCCGAAATTGGGTCTTTAGCCCACGCAGGAAGCATCAACAACAGAAGCTGGATGCCGACCTGGCCACTTTGTATACTGAGGCTACTCTGTTGTCCATCATCCCGGTGTGTCTCGGGCATATGCCGCAGCACCTATTGGGGGTAGACGACTGTAGCCTCCCTCGGCAGCTCATAGGGCGCCTCGGGATATGCATGTTCTGGCTCGGAGCTCTATAATGCGATTAGTAGCTGAACCGAAGGGCTCTCGCCAGCATCGTCCGCCATTTCCACGATCACCATGGAGGCAGTCCCGTGGGAGGAAAGCCGACGTATCTGTAGACAGTTCCCTCCTACCTGTTGTGCTTGCTCGCGTCAAATGATCTGTAGCAACAAGTCTTCATCCAAAGTTTCATGGTTCTCGCATTTCTCACTCAGTCGGTATCTGATCATGGCTGATCATATGGTGCCATGATTCAGACGGTGTAGCTTACAGCGAGCACCGTAAGCACCTGCATGCGCAGCAGCTACGCACACTCGCCGTCGCGCGAGTCGAATAGCCCCCACGAACTTTACCCTTGATTGTGATGCAGGCAGGAGTATGTCATCCAGCCCAGCATTGAGTGTCATCGGCAGATGTACCTCGATGTTTCTGGTCCATATACTCCCGTAGCATGGCGCTGCATCGTCTCGTTTCGGAATGAGCACTGTCGGCATTCTGTGCAGACAGGGCGACTTGCCGGAGCCATACGCCGCTCCCAACGGGTGTGAGTCATGTAGTGACTAACCGATAGGCCGAACTGTCTTTGCGTAACTGCTTGTGGCTTTGCTCATGATGCTCAGCAGGTGGACTGTACACTGGGCATTGTGAACTTTTAACCAGCATCTGGTCGACGGGTTCCAAGTTCCTCGGCCCGTTTTGTCTTTTGCTTTGTGAGTGCCCCTTGTCCCAGACTTGATCGCGTCCGTCGCATGTCTGTCCTGAAGCGGGGTTTTTCCACTGGGATTCGTCGAGGTAGTGGAAGGAGGGGCTGGATACGCTGGTCTACGATCTCTCCTCGTTGCCGTCGCGGAAAACATCTGTGTTCAGAATATCGATGGCAGGACCTATAGTAGCCTTGCGAGATGACAAGTCAGCTAGGAATCCCGCGTGATCAATCGCGTCACTTCCTGGTATCTCCGTGTCTCGGTGTACATTGTCCTGCCGTCGCCACCCCAGTTCAGACAATGGTCATTGACCAGAGCTCCGCAAACGACTCAGACCCGGGCTGATCGTATTCTGCTGGGCTTCGTATTATGGAGCACTTCTCATCGAGTCACAAACTGTCTGACCTTGGGCGCATCGGTGTCGGATCTAGGGCGAGCCGGTGGGTTAACCTGTGGCAGAGCAGGGTGTTGCGATCCTTGTTAGCAGTAATTGAAGTTGACTTTCCACAGCGATCGTATATTGCTTGAGTTGATTGCTCTAGTCTTCTGCTGTGCTTGCCATCGCCCTGGTCGGACTGGGTTGATTGATATTGATCCAGCTCCGTGGAGTGCCATGTTGAAGCTTAACCGTCTCTGGTCATCTCAGTCTTCTGCTCGTCCTCCCTTTTGTCCTGGCTCCCGGCTCTCGTTCGGTGGTGTAGAACGCGTCATCTTTCGGATCTGCCGTGTGGTTGCTGTCCGTCTGATCTCGGGTTCAACCTGAGCGGTTGGAATGGGTTGAACCCGGGTTGAACCTGTTGGCGATGCGGTCGCTCTTTTCGTTGGGGTCGGGAAGTTTTGTCCGCGTGCCTTTCTGTGGGGTTGTTTGTCGGTCATTGCGATCGTAGCTGTGAATGCATCTGATCTCTTGATGCAATCCGATCATATTGGCGCGTCGTGTTTCTTCGCCGCGTCATGGACAAGACTTGATATGTGTAACTTCCGCGTGTGTTGTGAATAGTGTCTGTGACGCGTAGTATTTATGCTCAGGCCTACTCCGTCTTAGTTCAGAGTTGCCAGAATGTGTGTTCACGATGGATTCCTCTGCGACAATATGGTGAATCCTTGTTGTACCGAACCTCGCCATACCGGATTCCTCGATATAACGACCTTTTTTCGCGTTTTTCGGCCAGTTTCACGTGAATCGATCTCAGTGTGGAGAGTTCCTTGGTACGATGGACCAAGTTGGCTTTCCATATCGTTCGTCATAGCGAGTGTCTACTGTACGTATCACGCGTTTCATGCTGGAGCCGGGGCCGCGGCGTGGTACGGGGAAGCATATACTGTACGTTATGAGCTCCGTGTGGTTGCGATGGTGCTCTGTTTTGCATCCGAGTATGTATTGGCCTCGCGCCAGAAGTTTTCTGGTGAGTATTCTAGTCATCGCTGGCTTTTTGCTTTCGAGCGTTTTTTTTTCGTGGTTGTGAAGAGCATGGTTTGGCGACGCCTCGGGCGGATTAACCTCCACTGTATGTATGTGGAATCGGTGCCAGGTCCCTCGAGCTTGGGTTGAACCCCGGCGGGTTTTCCGCGGGTTCGGGTCGGTGTCGAGTTGAACCCCCCAGCTATCACTATTTGATGTGCATGATTACACTCTTGATATCGGTGCTATGATGTCGAGTTTGTTTCTGATGGCTCTGTGGCCTGTATTTTTTGAGATTCTGCCTTTATTTTGGTGTGTTATTGCAGTGCTGTCCTGATTTAGTAGAGTGTAGGATGGTGTTGGGGTCTGCTCGGAAGGTGCTATGATATATATTGCAGCATTCACCACAGTCTTGGTATTAAGTCTCAGCATTATCCCTGATCTTCCACCATAACATACGATATTCACAGTGCAAGGACCACACAATCAAAAGTGACCAGTTTCATTACCGACAAAGCCCATCAAAAGTAAAATACCTGGGAAGATCGGCGTGGAAAAGGGACATTAATATTGACGTCGCGTAGAACATCCAGACTACAGACCAAGAATCGGATGAACATGACTACATCAAAACAGCGTAAAATGCACAAGAGCGATGCATTGCTCCTACATATACAACGACATACGAAGAGGCATTCGGAAGCTACGATCATACTAGAACAATCAAATCAACACAGGAGAGGGGGGATGATGCCTGAGGAGTCAAATTAACGAGTTGACGGAGGCCCGCAATCACGCCGCGAAGCGACACGCGTCGCAGCACAACCGAACAAGGCAAACGCACAATAAAGGCGAAAACTAAAGGACAGCGACCAGAAGCAAGCCACGCAAAGAGACACAGAGAAAATTGTTTTGAGTTCTTTCGACCGTTTGTATTCATATTCGACCGCGTCTTAGGTAGGTCGCGCGATCGTGTTTAGCCTATGGCACCAGCCGGAAGCATAAAGGCCGCTATGATACAGAAAATTCAAGCGCGCGCACTAGCAGACCAGTAGTGGACGCGTAAAAGTAAAATAAAGTGCGATAAAGCAAACCCAGACCCATGGATACTTGTAATAAAAAGATCAAGAACACCCCAACGTCCCAGTCATACCATGAACCAACCCGAAAAAGCAACCCGTCGCGTCACTGCTGCGGAAGGACAACTGACGCGCCGACCGCGCAGGATGGCTAAAAAGAAAAGAGCAGGAAAAGAAGAACGCGTTTAACCACCGAAACCGTAGAGGGTGCCTGAGGGAGAAAAACGAATTAGAATGCGTTGCTTGGAGTGGACGCGTTCTAGGAGCAAACTTACGGCCTTGACGCTTGAGAGCGTAGACGACATCGAGGGAGGTGACGGTCTTGCGCTTAGCGTGCTCAGTGTAGGTGACGGCGTCACGGATGACACCCTCGAGGAAGGTCTTGAGGACACCACGGGTCTCCTCGTAGATCATGGCAGAGATACGCTTGACACCACCACGACGAGCGAGACGGCGGATAGCGGGCTTGGTGATACCCTGGATGTTGTCACGCAAAATCTTGCGGTGACGCTTGGCACCACCCTTTCCGAGACCCTTTCCACCTTTGCCACCTATTGGAAACGCGTCATGTCAGTTTACATGATGCATGAGATGGGAGAGTTGATTCCGATGGAGGAATCAGGTCTAAGTGGAAGCAATAGACTTACGTCCAGTCATGTTGACGGTTTGTTGTGAAACGGAATTAGAGTTGAATTAAAGTTGGTGAGGTGATAAGAGGTGGAGATAGAATGGGCGATTAAAGCTGGTGATAGATGTTAAGGGAAGAAGGAGGAGAGGCTTCCATGGGACGGGGGATTATTTGTATAGCGAAAGGCAGAGGGCGGGGAGGGCGTTGGAATCACACGCTAAGACCCGAATCAACCAATCAGCGGACAGGATCCCGGACGGCGGGCTTGATCTGGCCGGCAACGTGACCGAGCAGTGGTGATTCCGCTGCCTCAGACTTGATCTGCCCCGGAATGTCCCCAACCACCGAGATCAACGATCAAAGAAGATCAGAGACATTCTGGCCGATGGCTGGCATTCTACCAAGCATTCTGATGGCCCTTCATCCCTTCCCTGAGGTTGAGATCAAAGAGGTGGCAGGGGGGCATTCTAGATGCGTGATCCTGTGATCCTATTGGCTGACGGGCGGGAAGAAACTCGCTTAGCGCAGGACCGCCTTTTCCCTTCCCGCCCGAAACTGCCTGCTGGCCCTTTGATTTTGCCCGCCAAAAGTGAGACCCGAAATCAGAGCTTATGGTGTACTGCTTTCCGATCGATTTTTGGATCAAAGGAAACGGGCGCTAAGGCCACCCTCCATTACTGCCAATTCACTCACCCACCCGCCCCCCTCACACTTCACCACCCAGATCACTACCCACCCCTCTCGCTTACTACAAATACTGCCCCCCACCCACCTCCTCCATCCTTCTTACATCTCCCCAATCCCGTCGACACCTTACTACTTCTATCATCGACAACCATCCACAACTTTATCTTTCCATCTCAAGTCGACTTAATTCATCAAACCTAAACATCTAAAATGGCTAGAACCAAGCAGACTGCCCGTAAGTTCCACTTCACCTCACTGTCCCTGTCGTTCCTCTTCAAGGGGGTTCTTCATCTCGCGTCATGGTCGCGACACGTCTCACTCCTTGAACGCGCCTCACCTCACCCGAACCATCATGCTAACCACTTTGCTTTACAGGTAAGTCCACTGGTGGCAAGGCTCCCCGTAAGCAGCTCGCTTCCAAGGCTGCCCGCAAGGCCGCTCCCTCCACCGGCGGTGTCAAGAAGCCTCACCGTTACAAGCCCGGTATGTTCCTTCCCTATCAAAGTGGTCACTGGATCATCTCTTCTAATACCTTCCCCCCACAGGTACCGTCGCTCTCCGTGAGATCCGTCGCTACCAGAAGAGCACTGAGCTCCTCATCCGCAAGCTCCCCTTCCAGCGTCTGGTCCGTGAAATCGCCCAGGACTTCAAGTCCGACCTCCGCTTCCAGTCCTCTGCCATCGGTGCTCTCCAGGAGTCCGTTGAGGCCTACCTCGTCTCCCTCTTCGAGGACACCAACTTGTGCGCCATCCACGCCAAGCGTGTCACCATCCAGTCCAAGGACATCCAGCTTGCCCGCCGTCTCCGCGGTGAGCGCTCCTAGATTCATTTAATCTTCGGATGAGTCTATCTCTGCAACTGGTTGGCTCTTTTATGGGATGGCGATAACGGGGTTTCTTTCTTTGCTTATTTCATGACTACTGGCGATACATGATGGGTTTCTTCTTTTGCGAATTTCACAACGGGTCTCTCGGCAAATGGGTTTTGTGATTTCTCTTGCTACGCAATAAATAGTAGGCTGCCGAGTTTGTTTCTCTCGAGCGGCTCTGGGGTGGATTGATGATCGTGGCGATGCATCCGTCCGAATATGTACATTACAGATGATTTGATTCGAGAAGCGACTTCCATCGGAAGCGCCATCGGATGGCATAGACGCGAAATGCAGGATCTATGACGATGCAATCCAATCCAGCTTTGTGATTCGCCTAGTGATGATGTTCTATCTCTTTAGTGGTGGACTAAATCCTGGTCTGATGACATATGCTTTGTAGTCTGATTCCTTGTGTAGGTTCTGTTCCTTGCCCCATGGTCGGGAGGAAAGAGTCTGGCGAGCCGCGACGCGCCGCGATACCGAGAATGTAAACGTATTAGAAAATCCTTATGACGTGTCTTTCAGTATCGTCTGCCCTCTCCTGCAGCATCCCGATTCTACTTTTACTCGTTTGTAGAGAATCTACGCTGGCATGAAGGGACCCAGCCCCCCTTTCCTGACTCATAGGGGCTCATCCTTCGCTCACCTGGCGAGGTGGCGAAATGGGCCAAAAATACCCTGGCAAATTAGACGAACAGTGGGCGACCGACCCCTGGGGAGCCGGCCAGCCAGCCAGCCGTTTGAGTCTTTCCGTCATTTCTCGAAGATTATCGAACCAGGAACAACTTCGCCATTCTAGGTTTGGTTTTCCTTCTATCAATGTATGCCTGCGGCTTTCGACTTTTATGTTCTAGGAAGAAAAGTCGAATTGTTTTACAGGGTATTTGGACGGTGCTTTGTAGGTAGATCGGTCACGGTCTCTGTCGCTGCAATGGCGATGGCGATGGCAAAGGCCGGTTCGGGCGGAAGCGGACGGACGGGTTCAAATTCTTTTGGACAAGACGAGTCTGGAAATGACGAATGGCGGAGGGAAAGGGGGGGGTCATGATGGGATTAAGACAAGACGGCGTTGGTGTGAGAGGGAGCCTGTATATAGGACTGTGAAAGAAGTTAGTGTTGTCAAGGAGTACTGCGACCGCGACAAGGGTTCACCTGAAGGAGTATCGCCTCGAGAAACGATAGTAGGTCGTCGTGGCTGTTAGTAGTACTGTACAGGGAGGCCACCGGTCGGGAGAATTCTGCGGGTTTGGGAACTGCGACCGTCTGGTCTGGGTGTACGTCCATAATGTCGATGATCTCCAGCGTTGATGGATCAAGAATATACGCGTTCTTATTGTGTCAAGGTGAGAACCCAGAGACCTTACTTTATCATGCGAAGAGAGTGTAAGTTAAGAAGATTGCTGTATCTATAGGCCCTTGGTCCAAGCGTCGGCTGAGCTGCCCTGGGCAAGTTAGGCTTACTGCATAAGTATGGACTACAGAGTGACTAGAGCCTGCGGGCGCATTCTCCCCACTCACTCCCGCCAGCGCCTCTTATCGATAGTCGATCCTGAATCGTCTCAGCCTCAGAAGACTTCTTCATCATACAGAGGGGACTGTCTCATTCTGGGGTCTTTGCAGCAAATGAGCAATTCTAATATCTGAGTCACAGTAGCACTTGGGTCAGATTCATACCGTCTTGATGGAGGAAGATATGAGGCGTACCCGGTTTGTTCTCGACGCCCTAGCCACTCAAAGCACTCAGCCACAGAATGAATCTCTATGACGATGTTGCAATCGACGGCCTAGCCTCGTCATAGTCTCAACTCTGGAAATGCAGGGCGATCGGAACCAGGTTTCCGATCTTGGCTTGCAGTTGAGACAAAAGAGAACGAAAGAACCGGTGAGGGAAGGCAGTCTTCCTAAGTATGAGTGTGTCAACATTTGAGGACTTGCACGGAATCAGTCGACCAAAGAGGTGGCCGCCGTTCGGACCAGATGACTCGAGGCGAAGTCTTCCGACTGCAATCTGCCAAGGGGATCAATTGTCATCCTGCACTCTCCATGCTTGTGGAGGTATGGAAACGTTACATTGTGCATAAAGCATAAAACCTTGCGCTATACAATGGCTGCCTCAAGTCGGAAAAGCTTACGTGCACTTGCCACGTCGTTATGTCGCGTGTTGTGTCTGAATAGCCCAAAAGTCACAAGACCTTTGGCGCGATCTGCTCGGAAAATTTTGTTTCTTTTGTTTGTGGATGTTGCTCCATGATGGAGCTTCAGCTAACGATGGCAGCGAGGAGCCAGATGATTTTCGTAAGCCCGACTAGGCCCGGGCAAAGAGTCATGGTGATACGACCCGGCAGCGCAGCATGCACCGGCTAAGTAAGTCATCCCCGATTGGTAAAGGATTTGGCCCGAGAGAAAAGAGCACGGACGCGAGGCTTGAGGCTCGGCTCAGATATCATAAGGACGAAATCGAGACAGTCACCTGTAGCCCACCTACTCGTAGGTACCAGGTGTCACTTCCCTGATCTGGATTGCGATCAGTCCATCCCCATCCGCATGCCCCCTCCCCCCTCTCTCCGGATCGACGGGGCCCGGGACAAAGGGAACAGGTCGAATGCGAGTCAGACCGCCGGGTGCGCGTTCTGCTCTTCAATTCGTATTTCTCCAGTGTTAGTTGGTAGCACGGTCGGGGGATGCGGTGTGACCTCCCTTCGCTTACACTCCTCAATGAACCACTGAGTAAGAGGGCAGGGGGGCAATCAAGCCACTGGCGCCTGCGGAAGATTCCTCGAGAGAAGGACAAGACCGCCAACTCACAGCTTGCTTCTCCGGAACAGACTTTGCATTATGGACTTTTTTTGATGCCAATGTTGATTGAATGCCGATCACAAAGCTTTTATGAACCTTTATAAAATCCAAGCGTCTGATATAACGTTTAGATCATGAGTACGGAGTAGAAATGATTAAGATGAAGTAGTCCAACAGGCAGTCGACTAGCCGGTCAGCGATGTGCGAGGGGTGGGGCGGCGGCGTAATCCGACAATCATCTATTTATATTGGGGTTGATTTGTTCCTGCAAAAGTGCTGAGGCGTGAGTATCATCCCCCTCTCAACCCCTGCAAAATGGCCAGTAGCTGCATGTTGATACTGACGGGCCTGTGACATAGTTGACTCGTCTTTACCCCGTACACTCAGGCTACTTAACCGAGCCATTATCTCTGGGCTGCGTTATAGTTGCTGATATGACCGCACGAGATCGTGACTGCAGTGTTGTTGACTATGCTGTGAAAGGCCACGCAAGGCCTGTTATGCAAGAAACGATCTTTAGTCAATAGTCGGATATTGCGCTTGATTCGGCCCACTTTGAGCAGGAAGATGATTGTTAATCATGTTGTTTATGAAGTGGGATTATCGTCGGGATCCCGTAGCCCGCTTGGCGTGTCTGAATCATTTCTTCCGTACCGTAGGAAGGAGAGGTCCTCGCGCTGATGTTCTAGTTCGACTCATCATATCCATCCATGGAACTGCCCGTTCTAGAAAACGCTAAGCCTGTCTCGGGACTTCTATGCGACTCGATGCAGCATAAGGTTCTGAACAGGCTGCATGTCACAATGATGATATCTCTTTCTCTCACCCCCCCGATCAGCCATCATCGTCGAGCAGGGTTTTTGGCATTGTTCTCATGATCAGTCCAGTCCCATCATCCAATATCCCGCTCAGATCCTTCGACGGTGGGCTGTCCATAATTTTCTGCTAAGCAATCTGAAACGGCCATATCTGGGCTAGGACCGTGGGTTATGTAAGGCAGCTGTCTGCCTGATCTCCTGGACCTCGGTAAGTTCCCCTGTCGAAAGATAAAATTTCCACCACACAGGATCCCCCCACATCAGCACTTTTCTCTTCATCACCGACTAATCATATCGAGCCCTCGCAGACGCCATCGGGATTGCCGTCCACGAGGTGTGCGGATTTGCCCATGGAACCAGAATTTCGAGCCTCCTGGGTGGGTTCGTCGGCCCACATTGGCTGAGGCCATGCAGTCTCGCCCGCCCCAGTGATGAATTTGTGCCCTGCATAAGCCGGCCTCTGTGCACGAATGTCGGCAGAAAGCCCCCGTTTTGGGAATCGCTGGACTGGTGTGTCCCTGGGTTCCTCGCTTTGGTCTCAGACCGGCGAAGATCCGAGGCTAAAGTCCCCAAAAGTCCCTACAACGATTAGTCGTTCCCGTCTGTAGCGCCAGGGCAAGATGACGCCGTGGTGGCCGTGGTGGGACAATGCCAGGTGGTGCAGACATTAGCAGAAATTTCTAGCCCCTCTCCTTAGTCGCTAGGCCGCTGTATATATCCGATGCCATGTCCCTCGATCGTACGTAGGTTGTTTCGGTTTCAAGCTGAAGATTATCCATTGATAGATCATACCTACGTGATTTGATCGTCTTTTTAAGACGTCGGCTAGAGTGATTTACCAAGCAGCTGGTTACACTGACTACATTTTAGTCTCCTAGCCTGCTACTATACATCTCGGGTTGACTCGGTCACTACTAACGACGGTTGTTTGTTTGGACCCTTGGTGGTTACCTTAACCGGTATCTTATCGGTCGAGCAAGGCTTGAACCTCACACTCAACCTACCTAATCTGTACTTCAACCAACAACTTACATTCCACGATCATCCAACTCTGTCAGCTACCTGATCGACTGTCGACTACCAGTCCTCACCAACAACTCGCCCTTCTCCCTCCGCGATGGCCAACGACAAGGGGGACAGTGGGCCTTCGGCCATCGCTATTGCCAGCAACAAGATCCCATTCTGGCGTCTGTTGACCGACCAAGGCGTGTTAACTCAGGAAATTATCGATCATCACTATCCTGGATCCGGTACCGATGAGGATCCGTATGCAGTCACCTGGCTCCCCCAGGATCCCCGCAACCCCATGCAGTTCAGCGAGACGAAGAAGTGGACTTTCACCATGATGATGGCGCTCGCGACCTTGGCCGTCGCCCTTGTGTCATCAGCCTACACTGGTGGTATTGTCGAAATTGAAGAAGACTTTGGAATCGGTACCGAGGTTGCGACCCTCGGTGTCTCTCTTTTCGTTCTTGGTTTCGCTATTGGTACGCTCCGCAATCCGTCTCCTTGTTTTCGCACGTGTGTTTTCACCAGTTCATCCTAACAAAGATGCAGGTCCGCTCCTGTGGGCACCGCTGTCGGAAATGTTTGGCCGTCAAATTGTGTATTGTGTCACTTACATGGCGCTCACGGCGTTCACTGCCGGCGCTGCTGGTTCCAAGAACGCCTGGACCCTCATCATCCTTCGTTTCTTCGCAGGTTCTTTCGGATCGTCGCCCATGACCAACGCTGGTGGTGTCATCGCCGATATGTTCCCTGCCAGTCAAAGAGGTGTTGCGACAAGTTTGTTCGCCGCTGCTCCTTTCCTGGGTATGTTACATTCTCTCTACGTCTTGCCATCTCGACCTGCTGCTAACCACCATTCTGTGATACAGGTCCCGTGCTCGGCCCTATTATTGGCGGTTTCCTGGGTATGAATGCCGGATGGAAATGGGTGATGGGTTTCCTGGGTGCCTTCACGGGCGTTGTCTGGATTCTTGGATCGTTGACTGTCCCGGAAACCTACGCACCAGTCCTGCTTCGTCGCCGTGCAGAGAAACTGACCAAGCTTACCGGAAAGATCTATCGCAGCAAGACCGACATCGATCAGGGCAAGACCACCCTTGGACAGGCCTTCAAGACTGCGCTGTCCCGCCCCTGGATCCTGCTCTTCAAGGAGCCGATCGTGTTCCTGCTTTCTCTCTACATCGCCATCGTTTACGGAACCCTCTACATGCTGTTCGCTGCCTATCCTATTGTCTACGAGCTGCACCGTGGCTGGAACCAGGGAGTTGGCAGTCTTCCATTCTTAGGCATCATGGTGGGTATGATCGGGGCTGTGGTTTACAACATCCTCGATAACAAGCGGTACATTCGTGTTTCTCAGAAGCACGGCGGCTTCGCGCCCCCAGAGGCTCGCCTGCCCCCATGTCTGATTGCCTCTGTTGCGATTCCAGTTGGTCTCTTCTGGTTTGCCTGGACAGACTACGTGTCTATTCACTGGATGGCTAGTGTGGCCGCTGGAGTTCCCTTCGGCTTTGGCCTCGTCCTGGTATTCTTGAGCAACCTTTCTTATCTCATTGACACCTACACCATCTTCGCCGCTTCGGTCCTGGCCGCCAACTCCGTTCTGAGATCTATCTTCGGTGCCGTGTTTCCTCTTTTCACGACCTATATGTACGAGGATCTTGGTATTCACTGGGCTACCTGTATCCCGGCTTTCTTGGCACTGGCCTGTGTGCCTTTCCCCTTCATGTTCTACAAGTATGGACCCGCCATTCGCAAGCGCTGCAAGTATGCTGCCGAATCCGACGCTTTCATGCGACAGATGCTGGCGCAGCACATGAAGAAGGCCGAGGTCGCACCCGAAGAACCCCAGGAGGAAACCAAGGAGGAGCATGGATTCGACCGCACCGAAGCCCCGGCTGCCGAGACCCTTAGCGCTGATTCCGACTCGAGCCACAAGGAGAGATTGACGGACCTGCACCGCACTCGCAGCAAGGCCTCGACTCATACGGTGAACTCCGTTCGCCAGTCGCTTTACGAGGGTAACCCCTATGACATCGACCGGGTCCACACTCGCGAGTCCTTCAAAGCTTGATTCCGCATCGCACACGCAGTTTTGAAGGTCGAACTCCTACCTGCGACTTGATTTGGTTCGAGCGCCTTTCAAAACGCCCTCAAAACGCCTCTCAAAAAGCACCTACCCACTCCCCGATTACTATATAATTTTTAGTATCTATTACCTTTTTTTGAAGATGTCGATGTGAGCCGTGGATGGCTGCGTCGAGTGAAATGAAACAATCAGCCTCATTTTCTGGGCAGTGATTGTTCGATGATTTGCATGTTGATATACCCCGTGCTTCTATGTATATGCCACTTACTGTTTGTTGATAGAGGGTGGAGTTTCTGTTTGTTTCAGGCATTTCTATAGAGATTCTCCGATCTGAATAATGATATTAATTGAATGCAATCTATGAAAATACCGTAGCTAGCTAAATGCTATACATATCTTATGGGTCGTTCGGAGATAAGCGAATTCCCAGCGATCGGATCGCTTCGCCGACCCTCGGCACCGGCTGTTGCTTATGCGCTCCCGACATTTGCCTTCCGGAGTTTCTTTCCCCCCTCCCAAAATGATTCATAATCATGTTTTCTCTTTTTGTTGCTGACGGACTATAGCTCGCTGTGCCTAGTTCGCCCTCTGACAGCATTTCTCACGCCGTGAAAACGCTTGCATGCTTGACTGAACAAACCTATCGTTGTGAGACTCGTGGTCTGCGCTCATTGATGTGGCCGGTCGCCCAACCCAATACTAGGAGTCTTTCTCGCGACCTTAATTGACCTGGCCCTCGCCGACACATTCACTATTGTACGATCTATACATGCAAATAATGATATAGGAATTTCTTTCGATACGCCATATATCCTACACCATGAGCACCATCATCTTCGCCAGACCACCGATCCCCCGATCGCTGCAACTCTCCCGCCCGCTCCGACCACGGAGATATCAATCCTCCTCCCCAGCATCCAAACCAGACCCCTCCCCAAAAGTCTCCTCCTCACCACCCAATGCACAAACAGCCGCCTCAGCCTCGGGCGCCCCGGTCGTCCCGACGCCGACCGCCGCACAGACGGGCTCGCGATCACTGCTTCAAATCATCCAGGCTGGCCCTGTGGGAAGAGTGGCGCGGGCATACTCGCGGGTCCAGGAGCGCCGGCCGTATGCGACGCAGCTTTGGAGCTCGGTCATCGTCTATCTCTGCGGCGATCTGAGTGCACAACTACTGTTCCCCGCGGATCCTGCCCCGGCGACGGCGACGGCACAGTCTTCGGAGGGAGAAAAGGCGGGTAGCGAAGAAAAGAAGGAAGAAAGGGCCGGTGGAGGATACGATCCGCTGAGAACGCTGCGGCATCTGACGGTCGGGGTGGGATCGAGCATTCCGACTTTCAAATGGTATGACACATTCTGCATTCACTGAAAAAAACACACACTATAGCATGTAAGAGCTGACTTGATTATTGCGGGCGCACCAAACAGGTTCATGTTCCTCCACAACAACTTCAACTACTCGTCCAAGTTTCTCTCGATCCTGACCAAAGTCTGCGTGCAGCAGGCGGTTTTCACCCCGGTCTTCAATACCTATTTCTTCAGTCTCCAGTCGCTGTTGACGGGCAAGTCGTTGGAGGAGACCTTTGAACGGCTCAAGCTGGCTCTGCCAGTCAGTATTTCAAACAGCGTGAAGCTGTGGCCGGCCGTCACGGCCTTCAGCTTCATGTACGTGTCACCGCAGTTCCGCAGCATCTTCTCGGGTGTCATTGCGGTGGGATGGCAGACGTATCTGAGCTGGTTGAATCAGAAGGCGGCGCGAGAGGTCGAGGCAGAGATGGCCGAGGCAAGTGCGCCCGTGAGCATTGGCGCTGGTGCGGCGACGATCAAGGCATGATGGGGCCGTGATTGGCCCACTATATTTCATTTTCTTTTGTTTCTGTTATCTGGCTTTGCATCGGGATATCCTAGATTAGACGTTTTCATGGCGTGCGGCATTTTGTCTATAGATTAGCATAAAGTGAAAAAGCGATAGAATATATATAGACTTCGAACAGCAGCATTGTCTGCTCGGTATACTCGATGCGAACGGAGTGAGATTTAATAGTGACTCGGTCAAATTAACCCATTTGATGGAGGAATGGAGGGTACAGTAGCATTGGGGTTGGTAAAAGTGGAAGGATGACGTGAGGGATGCTTCACAATCGGCCCGCTCTCATTCGCCTCTTCCTCTCGGTGGTCTCGCCCGCCTGCCTCTCGAAACGCAGCGCAAACCACATCGCATGGCATGAACGCTCCCCACGCATTGCAGGCATGCCCTGCCACACACAGTCTCCGATACTAATTCCCGGTGGCTTTGCGGATAGCGACAGCAGCAGTAGCAGCGATTACGGCTCCGACTTTTCGCCCGAGGAAGAGGCGCTGCTGGACGAATTGCTCGCCAAAGTCGCCCCGAACCACGCGACAGTCCCCGACCCTGTAGTCGCAGCACCCGCACTGTCACCTCCACTCTTGCCAGTACCCATCGAAGCCTCTGCGACTATCGCAGATATCGAGGATCAATATGCAGGCTCGTCGTCTCGCCCGTTGCCTCGGGTGTTTGGGAGGGAGAAGCCTGCCTGGCAAACTCGCCGAACTTGGCCGTACGGCGCACGTCGGCCAGCGTCGATTCCAGGTCACCGTGGTCCCTCGTCTGGTAATGCTCTCTTCTCCTCTTGCCGCCCCCCGGATGATTGTTTCGCCCGTATTGTGATCGCGACGCTGACCTGTGGCCCTCCTCGAAGCGTTTAGTTGAGCATCCGAATTCCTCTGAAGGCAGAGAAAAGGAACGCGAGCGCCAGGCCGCTCGCCACCTCGAGACTACCACCAATGCAGTGAATACAGAGGAGGATACGCGATCTCCCGTGGAGCGATTCCGACGGCCCCCCAATAAGGCCTTCTCCGTCACGGACCTGATCTCCCCGGCATGGTGTGAGCTGCAGTATTGGTACTCGCTTACGAAACATGGCCGGAAGCGTCGAACCGCGGCGATGAAGCTCGGCAGTACGATACACAAGACGTTGGAGGATGAGATCTACACGACGGTGCCGGTCGAGATCACGACCAAGGAGGACGCGCTCGCCTTGCGTATTTGGAATATCATCCAGGGCCTGCGGCTGTTACGAGAGTATGGCATCACGCGCGAGCTGGAGATATGGGGCTTGGTGGATGGCGAGCTTGTCACTGGCGTCATCGATCAACTGTCTATCGAATGTCCGGATCCAGCTCTCGAGGCCACGGCCGCCTCGTATTATGCCGACATCGAGGCATCGAGGGCTATCTTGCCGGAGTATCAGATGTCCCTGACGGACTACCTGCTTGCACCATCACGTGGCGGGAAGAGGCTCTCCGATGTCTATGGGAGGGAAGAGGAAGAACCGGAAGCTAGCACTGTCGAAGCAACCAGTAGTCAGGGGTCTTCCGAGCTCCCTAGTATACCCCGGGTTTACCTGACCGACGTTAAGACGCGAGGCAGTGCTTCCGTGCCAGCGGTCAAGAGTTCCTCGTTCCGTCCCACGCAGCTCCAACTCCAGCTATACTATCACATGCTGAACCGCCTCATCACCAGTGACGATGTGACCATTGACGTCCTCGCCGCGCGGTACAACCTTGACGCGCAGCGTACCTTTACCGACGCCTTCATCCACGAAGTGGGCGGTCTCAACGACCAGTACTTCGACGCGCTCTCGTCGCAGGAGTTCGACCCGGACTTCATCCCGACGCAAGAAGACGCAGACGCCGAGGACGTCTCGTCATCACCGAAATCTTCATCCGCCCCACCTGCCAGTGAAGATTCCACTAGCATTCTTACCTCCCACAACAACCTGGCCGCCCTCTGGAACCTGATGAAGGAGAACCTCCGTCTGACCTTCCTTCCCCAATCACAACCATCCGTCTCCGTGGCCCCATCCATCCCCTCCGAGTTCCAGCCCGCCACGCTCGAATCTTACCCTACCGTCGTCTCCCCGCTGCTCACGGCGAAGTACATCTCCTCGAAGCCGACGACCGAGATGGAGAAACGCGTCCTGGGCAGTCGATCCTTCCTCTTCGATCCGAACTCCTTGACCTCCTACGTGGCGGACCAGATGGAGTGGTGGCGCGGCGAGCGGGCACCGCGCGGGGTGGAGGTCATGGATGCGTGGAAATGCCGCATCTGTGAGTTCCGGGATGAGTGCGAGTGGCGACAGGAGCGCGAGTGGGATTACTCGCATCGCCGGCGGCAGAAGCTGGACATTGAGATGAACGCTACCTGAGCTGTCTGGATGTGTCTTTATGCCTTTTAGACCCAGTATGTGTCTTTGAAGGATACAATTGGTCGGTGTTCTCAACATGGATAGACGTACTGTTTTTGGCTCCAGTGATTGATTGCATAATTGCATAGGTGGGCAGGTTTACCAGGTATACGGATAGGAAAGAGATATAACTTAGTATGTACTGGGACCCTAATAATGAACTGAAACCAAAGACAAACCCATACTTAACAATCTCATCCTATATAAAAGAAACCTATATACAAATCCCATGCACACAATATATCCCCGAACCACCCCCCAAGAATTATCTCGAAGACTCAGAAAGGATACTTCCTCCCCTCCTCCTCCTCCTTCTCCAAATCCCACCCCCGGGCCACCTGCTCAGCATGCTTCCGATCCAAGAACTCCAACAACACTTCCTCATACTTCTCCTTCCCCTTATACCGGGACACATCCTCCCCCCAACTCCGTACCGCGGACGCCAACCGCCCCGGAACCCCCGGCTCCTCCGCAATCTTGGTGATGGGCTCAAAATACGTGCGGATCGTAAACACCACGCCCCCGGACTTGGGGAGGCGGCGGAGCGACTGCCGCTCCGAGCGGAAAAAATGATGCTCGATCGCCTTGTTCTTCTGCGCGGTATTCCACGACACCTCGGGGCTGTCCTCGTCGCCGATGCTGTGCGACCAGGCCAACGCGTCGTCCACCTGGATGAAGTAGTTGTTGCGCACGACGGGGTCCTGCGGCCGCAGCCGCCGGAAGAAGTTCATCATCCCGCGCTCCAGCTTCTCGGCGTACTGGGGCACGGCGCCGTGCGTGTGGATCTCCGAGAGGCGCATGCCGTATTTGTCCTCCAGGCGCCAGAAGCCCGCGAGCAGGACGGCGCCGGCGAGCAGGTAGTATTCGCCGTCGGGCCGCTCGAGCATGATGGCGAGGTCGTCTTGCACTAACCGGGCGCAGGTTTGCATGGGGTCCTCCGGGAGGGGCCGCTGGGTTGTGTTGAAGGTTTCGTGCGTGGCGAGGTTGGTGAGGCCCGTGGCGGTTTTGCGGAAGAGGGTTGGGTAGCGTTCGGGGAGGTAGGTTGTTCTTTTTTGCGCCGGGGTTAATGAGGGGGTGGTTTGGGGGATGGGAGGGAGGGGGTAAGGTGGAGGGGAAAACGTACAGCTCTTCCAGCAGCTCGATGGCGGCGTCCATTGCGTCCGGGTGCGTGCGGCAGCATTTCGAGCCCCGTTCTTCGATGCGCTTGGCTTTGTCGGCGTGGTAGCGGAGGTAGTGGTTGTCCAGTTCTGTATGTCGATTTCCCCTCGGGGGTATGGGGTTAGTTTTTGGTTTGTGTCTGTGTGTACAGGTGGGAAAAAGCAGACGGACCGATCCATTCGTCCCATTTCATGCTGCGGAGTCCCATTGTCACGAAGTATTTTCTGCGTCCGTTTGACTTGGGTCAGTTTTACTTCTGTGTAGCACAAAGGGTGATATCGCTGATGCAGTGACTCACGGTCCGTATCGGAATGGACGGTAGGGAATCGGCTTCGTCTTGTGCACGTCCCAGTCGGGGAACGGTGTCGCAGGCGGTCGTTGGAAGTCTGAAGGCGTCCATACTGTTCGTTGTGCGGTGTCGCTGTCAGCGTTGGGGGTTGCAACTATACATGCGTTCGTTGTAGCTCACCGCCAGGAGTTCGCTTGACATCCTCATTCTTGTTCTTGGGCGCTTCGAGACTCGGAGTCGATTGTCTGGCGCGACTCGACCCCAAAGCCAACGTCTTCCATGCTTCGAGAAGTTTATTCAGCAGGTAGACCCCGATTGTGGTTGCGAGGCAGATGATGGCCACGTTGGGGGCGTGGTGTTGGATCGTCTCTATAAGTTCGGATGACATCATGTCGATATGTTCCATGAAAGTGGTTGTTGATTGTTCACCATGGTAGGAAATTCAGAGTTTATTCAATCTGGGACAGTCATATTTATACAGAATGCGTATGTACATCGAGTTAAGGCGTCGAGCCCGTCAATGCAGGCAAGACTTCAACCAGCCAGCAGTTGTTACCGTTTTGGTTAATGGAACGCGACTGATAAAACCGAAGATAGGCTTCAGCGATAAGATCCGTTGTCTGGTGGTTGGGTTGACCCCCTCACATAGTCTCATGCCCCGGTGCATCCACAAACCCCCGAATCTGTGATCGGCCTGGCCTGGTAGTTGCAGTAGCGGTCCAACGGTCTTATCTCTCCCCGTCTCTCTTTCTCCCTCGCTATCGTGTCACTCACTTCAGCCCCCCCCCGGCACCGGGGGATATCTTTTCCCAATCAGGCAAAGACTCGTGTTGCCCACAGAGGAGGGCGAGACAAGCCTGTGTGGCTCCTCCTCCTGCAGGGTCGCATATGACTTACTAACATGGGCAAACCGGGGAGAATCGATGCAGTGATGATGTGTTTTGTTTGTTCATCTACAGTAACTGATCTACTACTAGTTCTGGGGAGTCACCGCCTCCTCTGCACGCTCATGCGCTTCAGTACTGGGGCTCTGCATCCGCACTGCGTCGTCGAAGCAGACAGTACTGTCCCCAGTGGCGTCGCAGAGATGGCGGCACTATTGGCAGATCCGGAGTCCAGATGAGACGGCCCAGAAGACCTG